ATTTTAAATTTCTCTTTGATATTCGGCCCGATGAATGTAAAAACAAAGAATTACCAGATTTTTTTTACTTTATTTTTGTTTTTAAGAAAAATGAGAGCCACAAATGAGGATATTCATTAAAAATTTTGATAGAACAGTAGCAGTATAATGTCCTCGTAAGTGGATATCAGGCCTATGTAGAGCAAAATTGAGTATTTTGGTCTAAATAACCCAAAATGTGATGTCCACATATGTGGACGGCAGGTCCTAGGAGGTTAAGGTATTTTTGCCGTTAAGGTTTAGTAATTGGATATAATGCAAAAAGTAGGGCATATTGTACATAATGGTGATCTCCGTCATTTACCTCTTGTCTCCCATTAAGTTTGTTGTATCTATGATGTCAGTAGTATTATATTACAGAGTTAGTATGTAGGTTTTAATCGAGTTCGAGGTCGGTGTCTCTTATGTGATGACAGGCTAAAAAAAACCCCCAAAATAACAAAAACACAAACTCCAGTGATGTAATGGTTAAACAGACCCACCAAAGCGAGCTTGTGTTTAATATTAAACAAGGCCGTGCTTAATAATAAACAAAAGGTTTCAGCTTTTCACCCCACGCCAGACAAAGGCGGGAAATGACTGAACGGCTTCGCTTCCACACAGTCACCTGTTGTTGTCATTGTTTCAGTGCAGCAACCTGATATTTCCTCCTGTGGGAGTGTGTGCTCACAGAAACCATGTGTAAAGAAGCGGGGAGATTTAAATGTTTAAACTAAAGCTTTTGGATTAATTCATAGTGACGTGGAGTTGGTTAAAATCTGTGTTGTGTCATGATGTAAAATATAAGAACATCAGCTGTTTGCAGACATTATAGCTGCGATCAAACCTTTTACAACTTCGAGGTATGTGGAAAAGAGATTGTTCATTAACCAGCCTCATACAAGAGGCTCAGACGACACATTTCAGGAAGGAAAAACATCTTTGATGCATTATGTCACCGTGTAAACAAAGCCAGTAATGGTTTGGGGATATTTCAGAAACGCTGTAAAGTCATTAAGGGTTTGACCTTTGGCCGCTGCCACTGTGACAGTTGTTCTTGCTCCACGCCTTAATGAGATTCTGTTTACACAAATGTTATTTTGTGTAAACAAAGAAAGTGATAAACCTCTATTCTTTTCTCACTTTTCAATAAGGCGTGAAGAGGATTCAGAATACAGAGAAGAAGTAGGAAGCATTAGCAAATCAAGAGAGCCTTTGTTATAGTCTTTAAAATCAGCGTCATCTTTTATGTTCTGTCAGTGTTTGTGTCGCAACATGAGAGTGTGTTGATGAAGCATTAACATGAATTACCACCTTGCCTGCGCAGCGTTGCTATTCCTGACACACCCACTCTCTGGAGAAGCCCAGACCTGATCAGAGACACGTAAACATTGGAGGAGATCAAAAAACTAGGTCTGATAGCACCTCGTCATGGCAGATTACATTAATGAATGGGTACAGAGGAAGCAAGGGGGGGTGATGGCAGGAAAGCTGGAAAAGTTTGGCTTACTAATACTAATGGATCAACTTCTCCTGTTTAGGTTCTAAACTAAGCAAAATTATAACTAAGCATAATTCAAACCTGATCAGCAAAGTCTAAATAGGACAGGTGTTATTGTAAATGTAGTCTATGGTCCGTAGTAGGCAGAGGTAAAGATAAATAATCAGTAGCTGATGGGCCATACTGTGTTTCCTAGAGCTGACACATATGAGTTGCGCAAAAGAAAGCAGGCTATGGAAACAGTGAGGAGAAAAGGTTTCTTTCCTCCTTAGGCTAACTTGTGTGTAACAACTTGCCACTGCGGAAGAAAGAGGTGGATTTTCACCAGCTTGTTGTGTAACCATTAATCTGCTTATTATACTTATTCATCTTACAGCCTGCAAGGCCAGAACAAGGAATGTTGTGTTGGAGAATGTGTTTTTCTTTGTAAGCAAACTCTGTGTAATGCATTTGTGATAACTGCATGATTGGTATGCACGTTAAAGTAAATGTAGCCACCACAGGAATACTCATGCATTTTATTTTAGCTGCAATCAGACCGCATTATACTCAGAAAAAACAAACATGCCCCAAATGCTGTTGTTGAAGATATTGCTGATGTTGTTAATTGTATTTTATTGGAATGCAAAATGTAAAAATTACAGTTTTCTTTTATTTGATGGCTTTCAGTATTTTTTACAAGAGTAAGTATAAATAGTATAACATAGTCTCAAAAGTTGGAATCATCCTTTATCCATTATTATGTTAAAAAAAGAGTCAGGGTTCAGTTTATATAACTGAGGTCCACGATGTTACAATTTAGCTCTTTTACTTCTTTCACTTTGGGACTATAAACCTGTGTTCAGAAGGAAGAAACTTGACATCAAACCCTTGTAACTTTCTGGTGTACAGGGATGTGGGGCTAAGCTGTGGCTCACCAGTAAGCTTCTGTTCTTCATTATCATAGTTTTGTCAGAGTAAAAATAAGAAAGTTTCCTTAAATGTGACAAATATTGATGCTAATTTTCACACTCATCTTCACAGTTTGCTTCAAATTGAAATTTTCACTCAATTATTGTTTTGCACTATTTCTAATATTGCACACATTCCACCAGCTAACCCTTATTGGACATGAAAGGAGGCTGTTTTCTAAATTCAGTAACCATTTTTAGTAGATTACTATGACAATTTCTCATGCAGTAGTTGCCATGTAATAGATGTTGTCTCGAGGTCTACTAGCTGTGGGGATTCCCAGATATTTCCTCCAATGCCATTATGAGTTTAACATGTTGGTATTTAGTTGTACGTCTCATTAAATATGGTATGTATAATCATGAAAGACCACCAGCATGGTTTGGACTTATCTAGTCAAATGCACACATCTATAAATGTTGATTGATATTTATTATTTGTTGGTCAATGGAAGCCTCTATTGGCCATAAGAGGGCACCAATCTGTTATTGTCTGAGAGTTTCTGTACACAGATGGATAGCACCAGTCTCTCCTTATCTCTTCTGTTACAACAGCTCGGTGTATCCTGAAAAGTTGTGGCACTAAACAGACTTAAGCTTCACAAAATATTTGTGCAAGGTTCTCTGTCCGGAGAATAATGTGAAGCACTGAAAGGAGTTAGCCTGAAATCAACCTTTATGTGACTGAAACTGCAAACAATGGCCGTCCGAATAGACACGAACCGTGTTCCTCAGTTCTGAGTCACCACTGGAAGAGGAGGAGGCCAGGAGGAAGGAGAGGAGAGGCTTTTGTGTGTCTGTGTCTGCACAACAAAGAAAGGAGAAGGCGTATAGACCAATGTGTTTGTGAAGCAGGATGAAGTGGGTGTGTGTTTACATGGATGCGTACTGCGTTTGTTGCATTTGTATATTTCTGCGAGACAGGAGGTAAAGTTTTTTTTCCTTTTACATTAGTTTGAGCAGTTTTAGATTTTGGGGGTCTTTTATTAAATGACAGAGATAGAGGTCTGTTTGTGCTTTATGAGAAATGTAGACTTAGCATGTAAAGTTAAATCCACACCATCAGATATTTCCCACAAAACAAATCCACTGTGCTCTTTTCCATTACCCTTCCTTGTTCTTATTTGGCCTGTTTGTATGTTGTTACGTAAGGTTACCAAGACCAGAAACAAAAACAAACATGCAACACTAATATATGGTCACATTGGCTAAATAAGTTTTCCTCCCTTTAATTTGGAATCTTTCACTCTTTTGCTTATTTTCTTTCCTCTTGCTGTCTTTCCATTATAAATATTTTATTTTGAGTGTAAAAGTGAATATCCACAGGTATTCTGCATGTATTTGTCACATGAAAAACTCCGACACTAAAGCACAGCCACACCTAGTGAGGTGTGTTGTCATATGCCCTGAAGAAATTGTTCTTTTCTCTTCTCAACAAGCTATGCAGTGTTTTGAGCTTCATGAGTCTATGTACTCTTTTCATTCCCCCTTGCCTGATCAGTGCTATCTATCTATCTATCTATCTATCTATCTATCTATCTATCTATCTATCTATCTATCTATCTATCTATCTATCTATCTATCTATCTATCTATCTA